GCTTGTTAGGCCACTGTATCACCCCAGGTGTGCCTTTTCTAACACTTGCAAGTTGGATGCTGGGCCTGAAGCGGCAGCCTAGTGGCTAAATTCTCACCTTGCATGTGCTAGGATCCCATAAGAGTGCCAGTTCATATTTGACTGCCTTATTTTCCATCCAGCTCCCTGCTTGTGGCCTGGGAAAGCAGTGGAGGATGGTTCAAGGCCTTGGGACCCTGTACCTGTGTGGGAGACCTGGAAGAAGCTCCTGGCTCCTGTTCAGCTAAGCTCTGGCCATTTAGTTCGGCGAGGTGGAACTACTACCTGTGTGACAGATGCCCAAGCACTTGGGCCATCTTCTGCTGCTTTCCCAAGCACTTTAGCAGGGAGCTAAATTGGAAATGGAACAGCTGGGACTCAAACCGGCGCCCCTATGGGATGGCAGCATTGTAGACAGAGGCTTAACCCACTGTATCACAGCACCCGCCTGAACCACAAATTCAATGTTGCCATTATCATTTCGCGTAAGGCATTATCTAGATTTCACTGCCTGTTTACTAATTTATTTGCTTCTTACTCTTTCTTATATTTCAAATAAAATGAAATGTAAATGACATCTTTCTTTGGGAATGTTTTCCCCTCATTCTACAATGTCTTTTGGAAGTTTCTTAGTCCAGTGCGGTAGCCTACTAGCTAAAGTCCTCACTTTGCAGCCTTTGGGTTCCCATGTGGGTGCCAGTTCATATCCCAATCACTCCACTTCCCGTCCACCTCCCTGCCTGTGGCCTGGGGAGGCCAGTGGAGGACAGCCCAACGCCTTGGGATCCTGTACCCACGTAGGAGGCCCGGTAGAAGCTCCTGGCTCCTGGCTTGGTATCGGCTCAGCTCCAGGTGTTGCGGCCACTTAGGGAGTGAATTAGCGGATGGAAGATTTTTCTCTCTGAATCCGTATAAACTGACTTTCCACTACAAATAAATAAATCTTTCTTTTTAAAGAGAAAATTTTTTTTTAGTACTGATGGTAAATTCTCAATTTTTGCTATTTTCAAAATATCTTCATTTTATCCTTGTATTTGACAGTCTCTTTTTTACTGGATACTATGGCTTCATAGTTAATTTCTGCCCATCACTTTGAAGATATTTTTCTACTTTCTAATGATTTTCACCATTATTGGAATGTTAATGCAGAAGACTCTGTTTTTTGGTCTTGGATTTTAAGGTTTTCTCTGCTTTGCTGTGGTTTTACTACATTTTATCTGTGTGTGAAAATTCTTTTTACATGTTTTCTTTTCAAAAACTTACTGGGGGCCCGGCGGCATGGCCTAGCGGCTAAAAGTCCTCGCCTTGAACGTGCCGGAATCCCATATGGGCGCCGGTTCTAGTCCCGGCAGCTCCACTTCCCTTCCAGCTCCCTGATTGTGGCCTGGGAAAGCAGTCGAGGCTTTGGGACCCTGCACCCGTATGGGAGACCCGGAAGAAGTTCCTGGATCCTGGCTTCGGATCGGCATAGCATTGGCTGTTGTGGTCACTTGGGGAGTGAATCATCGGACAGAAGATCTTCCTCTCTGTCTCCCCTCCTCTCTGTATATCTGACTTTCCAATAAATAAATAAATCTTAAAAAAGAAAACCAACTTCCTGGATGTGTATGTCTGTATCATGAGTTCTAGGTAAGTTTTGGTCATTATCTCTTACAAGATGGCCTCTCCACTGTCTCATCTCTCCTTTGAGCTCATGATTATATATATTACAACTTTTTATTCCACCTGCTGTGTCCCTTAACCTCTCTAACTCATATTGCTATGCTTTATTCTGAATATATCCTCATATTCGTTCTTTAAAAAAAGATTTACTTATTTTTATTGGCAAGGCAAGCTTACAGAAAAAAGAGACAGAGAAAAAGATCTTCCATCTACTGGCTCATTCCCAGATAGCTGCAACAGCCAGAGCTGAGGCGATCTGAAGCCAGGAAACAGGAACGTCTGAATCTCCCATGCGGGTGCAGGTCCCAAGGTGTTGGACGATGTTCTGTTGCCTTCCCTGGCCATCAACAGGGAGCTGGATGGGAAGTGGAGCAGCCAAGACACCAACGGGCACCCATGAGCAATGCCAGCACTTGCAGGTGGAGGATTAGTCAGTTGAGCCACCACACTAGCCCCTAGATTCTTTTTTCAATTAACTAACATCTTCATTGTATATAATGTGCTTAATGTTTTCATTTAATAAGCTATATTTTTCTTTCTAAAATTTCTATCTTGTTCCTTTTCAAATGTGGTTGCTTTTTTTATAGTCTCTTGTCACTTTTTCATTTCAGTAATTTTTGTTTGGTATTTGTGTATTTCATAAGTATCATCTGATCATTATATTATCTCAAGGCTTATGGGGATTTATATCTATTGCTTCTTAAATCTTGGTTCTCATTCATGATGATTTGTGAATTTAATTACCTTTCCCTAACTCATCTTTGGCAGATCTTAAATTCTGGAAATTTTTGTTTTTCTCCAGGGAAAATTTTTTACTTTTATTTGCTGGGAGTCTGGGGACTACCAAGTGGGGCCCGCATCCAGGATACCAACTTCATCCAGTAGGCTTAGGTTCTGTTCTCCCCACTCTGCCACAGGCCAAGTGCAGAATCCATCTCACTGGCATATAAACATTTGCCCCAAACAGTTCCACATTTGGTGTGTAATGAATACTCTGTACTCATTATATTTTTTTTAAATTCCGTTTTGGTTGTGATCTTTTGGGAATTTCTCCTGTCTCTCAAAGGTCAGTGATGCAAAATAATACGATCCTAAAAAGGCACAATCCTTACCCACCGAGAACACCCCACCACATCGACTCTCCGCCAGCCCGCCGTGCCCACCCGTGCATGCTCACACCGTTCGCGCCGCCGTAGGTGGAGATCAGCGCCTGAGCCGCGTGCGGACCCCGGGAGGCGCGATTGCGGGGCGCGGGGAGGTCTCACACAACATACAACTGAAACCACTTAAGAAAGCTGATCATCTTACAGCTAATGCACCATGCCTGCAGGTTCCTTTTCTTATGTGATCCCCCTTTACCAAGCCAGGATTCTCTCTCCCTCTCTCTTTTCTTAAACCCCTTTGTGATTACATGATATCAGTTTCCTTCAGGTCTTTTAGTTTTACTGACTGTATCTTTTTACCTGGCTGGGTGAGGACCGTTGAATCTATAGTAAGCGATGTCCACAGAGAGCAGTCTTCTTCACTTTCTCTCTGTGTACTGAAAGAATCTCATTCACTGCCTTGGCTCAGTATCCTAAATTCCTCATGTGTCTTATACATATTCTCTTTTTGCTTGTAAAGTCTGTTGTCCCATGCCTTGATTATGAACTGATTAACTAATGTGTGACTAAGCTCAGATTTGCTCTCCAAATGCCTTTGTTGACTAGCTTCCACCTGCTTGCAGAGTACACTGTATCTGTTTCTCTCAATGTCCTTTACACACTTGTCATTGGCCAACTAAGACACACCAGTTCATACAAGGCAGGGAAAGCACCAGTGCTTACCTACCTTCCACATGAGGTCATGGCATAGCTATGCTGTCTTAACATCTAGCCCAGGACCCGATCCATGGTAGATAAACACAGGCTTGTTGTATAAATGGGTGAGTGAGTGATGATTTGGAAGTTTGGAGTTTGGGAAGCAGGTGAAAAAAGAGAAATGACTGGGATGTTTATGTTGTTTGTTTTTCCTGCTTGCTTAAGTGGAATAAAGTGGTCGTTTCATTTCATCAAAAGTTTATTGAGCATCCAGGGTGTACTAGGCACTCACTAGATGCTAGTAATACAAAGATGAAGATCAAAACAAAACAAAAAAGAAAAACCACTTCCTTACCCCCACAGGTTAAGGCAGATTTGGCTTGAACCTGGGGAGCTGCCCTTCAGGGATTCAGCACCAGGGTGTGGCATCTCACCTTAACCCTCAGCCCTGCATTTCAAGGCTGACCTGCCTCCTCCGGTGGTCTGAACACCCCCCACCCCACCCCACTACAGCACACTATCTCATTGGGGGGGGCGGGGGAGAGGGTCGGTTCTGGCTAACGAACGCTACTGCTCCAGTGGGTGTGGGGAGGTGGAGAGGGGTGCTGAGAGGGGCTTGCTAGCAGGGTGGGGGCAGAGGGACCCTTGAGGCTGGAACAAAACTTCTCCCTCCCCTTGCCCCCGTGGGTGGGCTGGGGCCTTGGGATTCGCTCCGTGGGAAGGTGGAGAGTCAGAGCTGTAGCTCAGAGGGATGGGGAAGGAAGGGTTGGGAATGCGAGGGGCCTGGAGGCTTCAGGGAGACGGGACAGAACACCCAGAGAGCCTCCTCTTCCAGCTTTGCAATTGCCCCTCGCTTCATGAGTGGTACTGCCCTCTCCTACTAACTGTTCAAGAGATGTGGTCTGGGTACGGCCTGGCTACACAGCAGAACAGCCTCTCTGTATTCTGATGTTAGTGTGATTAGCGACCCCAACATCTGGGCAGGTGGGAGGCAGCAGGCCCGAGGGTGGGCCGTGTGGTTCTGACACGCTCACCTCCATACATTCCCAAGCCCACTCTGACAGCTGGAGGAAGGTGTAATGATTGCCTGAAAAGCTTCTTTTGTAAGCGAACTAGGGAGAAGGCATGAACTCGAGGGGTGAAAAAGCAGTTCCCCACTTGCTGTCTGCAAAGTGCAGTGAGTGGGAATGTACTTTTGGGAATAATATAATCTGGGCTTCTCAAACGTGTGCCTTGGGAGGCGAGGTTTTGGGGGAAACCACATGAGCTCTTTACTGGACATAGCCAGGACAGTTTCAGGGTTATTGGTGTTAGTGTCCGGAATACTTTTGGGGGGATTTGGGCTCGAAATTTAAAACTCTATACGATCCTAAAAAGGCACAATCCTTACCCACCGAGAACACCCCACCACATCGACTCTCCGCCAGCCCGCCGTGCCCACCCGTGCATGCTCACACCGTTCGCGCCGCCGTAGGTGCGGGGCCCTCCCCGCGCCCCGCAATCGCGCCTCCCGGGGTCCGCACGCGGCTCAGGCGCTGATCTCCACCGGGCTGGACTCCTCCTGCTCGCGGATCATGTGCACGCCCGCAGTCCGCAGTGTGCGCGAGGCGCTGCGCGAGCGGCCCGGCGAGCTCGGGGCGCGTGGCGGCGATGAGTGCGTCCGGCTGGCGGCGGGCGAGCAGGCTGGCGAGCGCGGGTAGCGGCGGACCGAGCGGAGGGGCAGGCCCGGTGAGCGGCCCGGCACCGTGGGCGACACGGAGTAGCCGGGCGGCCCCGGCTCTGGCGTGCTCCGAGGTTCTGGCGCGGGGCTCTCCTCCGGCTCCGGGGAGTCCTGCAAGGACCCGCGAGACAGGTGTCAGGGGACACAGGCGGGGATGGGGCGCGCGCGTAGTGTTAAAGGGCGCTGGGAACCTTGACGCCCAGGGGTTACAGCTCCCTCCACGCCCCCACCTACTGAAAGGCGGCAGGGTCTAAATTTTTCTTTCTTTTCTTTTCTTTTCTTCTCTTCTCTTTTCTTTTTTCTTTTCTTTTCCTTTTCTTTCTTTTTCTCTTCCTTTTTCTCTTTCTTTCTTTCTTTCTTTCTTTCTTTCTTTCTTTCTTTCTTTCTTTCTTTCTTTCTTTCTTTCTTTCTTTCTTTCTTTCTTTCTTTCTTTCTTTCTTTCTTTCTTTCTTTCTCTCTCTCTGTCCCTCCCTCCCTCCCTCCCTCCTTTCTTTCCTTCCTTCCTTCCTTCTTCCTTCCTTCTTTCTTCTTTTTCTTTCTTTTTTTTTTTTTTTTGAGTGCTTTGTGCCTTTAATTTGCTGCGTTCCCCTTGCCTTGGAGAGCCTAAGTCAAGTTAGTTGTGCTAGAGGAGGGGAATTATAACCGGTGTCTGAAGATGTGGCACTTATTTACTTGCTTGATTCTAGACAGGCCTGTTCATCATTTTCCCTTTCAACCTTATTTTCCTCATCTCAAAAAATGTGGTGGCACCAATAGTTCACAAGGCTGTTGTGAGTATCATAAAGGGATACATACCAGTTACTGTGGGGCCCCAGCATCAGCACCCAGCCCTGCGCCACTCACCTTGTCCTTCAGAACGTACAGGGCCATGGGGTTCTTGCGCTCTTGCTCTCCACTCCGCGGGAGGGTTTCTGCTACATGGGGGAAAGAGTGGGGTGACTGGCCCAGGTGCGGACCCTCTCCTCCAGCCAGAGCCTAGGTTCCTGGCTCCCCAGGTGCCAGGCAAGACTCCTAGCACAACCTTCAGGCCCACAGCAGCATCTCTGGGGTCCTACCTTGATGGCACGTCTCTCTGCTCTGCAGTTCTAGGGCAGTGGCTGGGGGTAGGGGCCCTGCAGAGGTGGCTTCCTTGTGGCCCAGCTCTGTCCTTCCCTGGCAGCCCACTGATCTGAGCGTGGCTGGCAGGGGTGAGAGGGAACTCACCTTCTGATTTCAGACGGTCGTCATTCTGATCCATGTATTCCAGGGAGGTTTGCTTCTCCAGCTTTCTCTTCTTCCTGCAAATCAGCCCAGCCCCTCTCATGAACAGGGCTGTTTTTACTGCATGTGGGAGAGACAGACAGAGAGCAGTCTGATGGCCACAAAAGACACCTTGTGGTTGGAAGGTGGGCTGTGTGTGTGCCGGGACTGGGCGGTGGTCCATGAACTTGAGAATGAGCCACATTTGATTTTGCCTCCTGAGTCTGTCACTAGTTTTTTCTTGCAGTAAGCAAGTCATTTCACCACCGTCAGTCTCTGGTCATGATCTGTAAGCTGCAGGTAACCAGACTTCAAAAGGAGCATGTTAACTGCAGTGTAACCTGACCACCATTAATAATACAAGACTTGGGAGATGGCATGGTGGTTTAACAGGCTAATCCTCCTCCTGCAGTGCCAGCATCTGTGTGGTCACCATTCGTGTCCCAGCTGTGCTACTTCCAGTCTGGTTCTCTGCGTGTGGTTTGTGAAAGCAGCAGAGGACGGCCCAAAGCCTTGGGACCCTGCACCTGTGTGGGAGACCCAAAAGAAGCTCCTGGCTTCAGATTGGCTCAGCTGTGGCCATTTGGGAAGTGAAGCAAAGAATAAACGAGTGTGTGTGTGTGTGTGTGTGTGTGTGTGTGTGTGTGTGTCCTCTTGTCTGTAAACCTGCCTTTCAAATAAAAAGAAATATTAAAAATAGTGCTGAGGTAGTCCATGTGTAGGTGGTGAGCATAGGGCATGCTTCCTCACACAGATCTCCAGGCAGACATGCAGAGCTCTGGGAGGACAGGCATTTGAAAAGAGATGCAAGGAAAGATCGATCTTGGGGTTGGGGCAGACTGAAGGATTAGGGTGGCACTTGGAGGTTTACCTAGACTTTTTGGAGGGTTTCCAGCAGGCACACACTGTCACCAAGGTCACAAGGAGGAAGATGCCTCCTGTAGACAGGATGATGTAGAGGGAGCTTCTTCCTGGTGAAAGGGAAGAGCAAAGAGGTAGAAGAGCATGCAGAGGAGGCAGCAGAGCAGGAAGCTCTGTGGTAGGAGGAACAGCTGGGGAGGGCCTGGTAGCAGGGCCAGCTGGAAGCTCTGCGCTTAGAGCCCACCGGCCGCGTGGCTGGGTTGCTGCCCCCCACGGGTAGATGGTTCATCTCTGCCTCCTCTCCCCCTCTGCAGTGGCACACTCTGAAAGACCCATGCCTCTCAGGGTCTCTAGGAACACAGGTAGGGAGACTCAACTGTACACTGTGATCTTGACGGGCAGGCTGCGGCCCTGGCTGATCGGGTTCTCCACCACACAGCTGTAGAGGTCATCATCCTCCAGGAGCACGCGGGTGATGGTGAGCACCTTCTGGTCAGGGGACAGCAGCAGCCGCGAGTCGTTGAGCAGGGGCTTGCCGTCCTTCAGCCAGGTGTAGCTGGGCTTGGTGCCATTCTCGTGCGAGCAGTTCAGGGTGAAAGCCTCGCTGAGCTCCAGCACTGTGGTCGAAGCCACTAATACCTGTGGCCTTGAAATGGGCACTGAAACCCAGCAGGGGGCCTGTGAGTCAGGGGGTGGGAAAGCTTCTCCCCTTCCTTCTGCATCTCCCTAGCTTCCCACACATCACAACTCAAGTTGTGGGCCGAGAAGTTCCTCTGGGGCTTCTGCCTCGCGTTCTTTCCCATCACTCCTTCGTTTACTCACCAGTTGCTTACTGAGCATTCGCTGGGCATAGGAACTGTAATGCTAAGCCGAACAGCTGTGTGTCCGTCCTCATTCCCTTGTTTCCAAATACCTTCCCAAGACCACTGGGTTTTAATGTCTTCTACTGACTCAGCCTGGAAGATACGTTGCTTGGAACGAGCCCAGTTCCAACACTCTTCCTTACTAGCTGTGTTCCTTTCTTACTTACCCTTTCAATTGCAAACTGGGGATAGTGACATTAAACTATTTTTAGATCATGATAAGTATTAAAGGAGTGAACATCCGAAAAGCACTGTCTCTGGCACTGAGGACTCTGTTAGCTCCACCTGTATGCCAACTTCCAACATCCCACAAGCTCACTCTCAGCCCCCTGGTGTCTTCCGTGTTGGTTTGCCCTGAGTCTAACTGCTGTTCTGGGCAGAGCCTGCTCAGCCCAGGTGCCAGCCCTGCCTCATTCTCCGCCAGACAATCTTACCATCTACTGTGAGGTTAATGGTCTTCTCCCCAGTGAAGGTGTCATCAGTGATGGAGATCTCGACCTCGTAGGTGCCCTCGTCGGCCAGCTGGAGGTCGCTGAGCAGCAGTGAGCCGTTCTCAAACAGGCGGATGCGGTCTCGGTAGTCCGGCCTGAGAGTGCCGATGACCTCCGTGCCAATGGACTGCACCACGGTCACCGGCTTGTCCCGCTTCAGCTGCCACTTCACTACAGGCTTGTCGCTGCTGGTGCTGCTGTACTGCACGGAGAGCAGGGCCGACTTGCCCACTGTGCCGCGGATCAGGCGCACCGGGCTGGTGATGTTCACCCCCTCAAGGGGGTCTGCAGACAGAGGCCCATGTGGAAGAGGGCAATGTCAGCCCTTGGTTCCTTAGCCAACTCCCGCCTTTAAGCCCTCCACTCTCCCTGCTAGCACTTACTTCTTGCATGTTGGTGCCATGAACTCGCCCATTGGCTGTCTACCCCTAGCCTCCCTTACAGCCAATCCATGCCCCTCAGTGCTTTTTCCATCTGGTCCTCTGGATTTCTGGTACTTATCTCAATTGTCTCTTCTTGTGGAAGTTTCCAGTTAACCCACACCCTATGTGTTTCATTCACAGATATATTTGAACAGACAGCATTGTGACACAGTGAGTAAAGCCACTGCCTGTGACACAGGTTTCCCATATGAGTGCTGGGTCATTTCCTGGGTGCTAAACTTCTGATCTAGGTCCCTGCTAATGGCCTGGGAAAGCAGCAACAGATGGCCCCAGTTTTTGGGCCCCTGAACCCACATGGGAAATCAGATGAAGCTCCTGGCTCCTGGGTTTTGGCTCAGCCCTGGCTTTTGCAGCTATCTGAGGAATGAACCAGCAGGCAGAACATCTCTCTACCTCTCCCTCTGTATAACTCTTTCAAATACATAAAAACTTTAGAAGAGATATTTAGTGAGCACTTGTTCTATGCCACATACTTTTCTATATTGTTGAATTGCATCAAAAGCAAAGTAGACAATATTCTATGCCTACTAAAGCTTATAGATCATTGGCCTTTAGAGTAAATTTGTGACTGAGGATTGGGAGGACAGGAAATTGGAATATGCATGGGAAAATAGGCTCACAAGAAAGAAATGTGGTTAAGATAGTGACAATAAAAGGGCAACTTAGAGGTCTAAAGACATGAGGACCATCGACCAGTCACACCATGTGCTTCCCTGTCCTAACCCCAGCTTTAGTGCCAGCTTACCAAGTCTGCCTATGCAGAACAGCACTGCAATTGTGTAGGTGGCTTTGGGAATTCACCAAAACTCCAGCCAAATTTGGGGCATCAGAAGAGCCTTACAGGACTGAGCGCTATCACTTAGCCACCAGATAGATTTGGGCACAAAATCTTCTGAACTTCCTTCTTATTAAAAAAAATTATAAGGGTAATAAGAACAGCAGTCACTGCCTTAACAAGTTCACAAGATTGTGAGACACAATATGTACATCTGTTATTGTTGCGTAGTATAGAAAACACACATGGGAACAGCAGAGATGTGGCCCTCTTTGCCTGTGTGATCCAAGAGAAGTCAGTCCCCTATGGGAAGAGTTGTAGGCTAGATGGTCTCATTGGGTTGTTCTGATCCTCTAATTCTAGGATTTTATCATCCTGTCCAATTCAGTGCTGCATCTCCCATTTCAGTGGAGCTTGTAGGAGCTTTGAGGCCTGCGCAGTGCTGTTCGTTGGTATCATCTGGCCTTGTGGAATATTCTAACCGCCCAAGGAAGGTCTGCTGGAGAGTATGCCAAATGAGAGCAGGGCTGAAATCCAGGTTCTCGGGCCCTCTTGCAATGCCCCCAGCTACTTGCCTCCTCTATCATTGTCTCAGAAGTTTCCTCTTGGGCCCGGCATGGTAACCTAGTGGCTGAAGTCCTCACCTTGTATGTGCTGGTATCCCATATGGGCACTGGTTTGCATCCTGGCTGCTCCACTTCCCATACAGTTCGCTACTTGTGGCCAGGGGAGGGCAGTAGAGGATGTCCCAAAGCCTTGGGGCTTGCTCTTGGATGGGGGGGCCTGGAGGGGGATCCTGGCTCCTGGCTTAGGATTAGTTCAGCTCCAGCCATTGCGGCCACTTGCGGAGTGAACCAGCAGATGGAGGATATTTCTGTCTCTTCCTCTCTCTATAAATTTGCCTTTCCAGTAAAAATAAATAAATCTTTTTTAAAAAGTCGTTTCCTCTTTCTCACTTCATTTCCCACTCTACCATGGTTGCATTTTACACCCAGAGAAGCTGAGTGGTACATCTCCCTCCCGTGCTTTGCTCCTTGTGCCTGGAAGGCCTATGCCAGGAAAAAACAAGAAGCAATTACACTAAAATGTTGGTCATGAAGAATAAGGCACATTTTACTTGCTACAGATATTTAGCCCATTTTGGGAGCAGGTGCTTTGTTGAGTAGCGAGCCCCTCATCTTTGGAAGTGGTCAAGAAAGGACAGTTAGCTATTCTTTCACCTCTGGAGATGTCAGTGTCTTTGTATGTACAGAGCAGTGATGGGGACCAGGTGATCTGAGCACCTTCTTGCCTCTGACAGCCAGCTCTGTTAGAATCATGAAACCTTGTGCATGGAATAGACAGGCTCCAGTGACCCATGCTGCTGTGGATATGAGCATCAAATGTCATATGTCTGTTACTGAGGGAAAGTAGTACAGGGAAAGGAGCAAGGACAAAATCAACCACCCAACCATTTTTAAACATTTAAAAAATCATATAAAATTTTTATGATTTAAGTTCTTAAGAACAATAACTTAAGAGGTTGATTTTAGATAATAAAACATGCACAGGATAGTTTAGATTCTTCACTTTTTAGGTGATTTACTAAATTTGGACTCTTATAGCTGTGATATGATGCTTGTTTCTTCAACATTTATATGATTTCTTACTGTTTTATTATCTCTCCAATCTTATTCAAGCATTTCTTATCGAAGATACTTTAGTTTCTTAAAAATTGCTATGTAAAAATGAAAAGGAGTGAAATATAATTCCAGCTCACCAGCTTTGGTGGAAGAAGTGGTGAGGACTAGAGCCCTTCTGGCCCCTAAAACTTGGAGGACTTCCTGTGAATCCCTGTGGCCCTAGTCGACTAAAATTCATGTGTGATCCTCAAGGTTTCTGCCAACTCTTAGTTTCTGTGATTATTATGTTGGAATTTCCTGACTAGTAACTGCTAATTGCTAGGCTTCTCTCGGCTTAGAAAAGCAAGCCTTCACATTTGTGATGAATTGGGTGAAGCCACCAGCTACAATGCTGGCAACCAATATGGATACCAGTTCAAGTCCTGACTGCTCCTTGTTCTCTCCAGCTCCCTATTAAAGCACATGAGAAAGCAGCAAAAGATGGACCAAGTTCTTGGTCCCCTGTAACCTAAGTGGGCAACCTAAAAGAAGCTTCTGGCTCTTAGCTTTCATCTGATTCAGCCCTGGTCATTCTGACCATCGGAGGCATGAACCAACAGATGGAAGATAGCTATCTCTCTCTCTCCCTGTGGCCCTGACTTTCAAATAAATAAATAAATAAATAAATAAATAAATAATGTATGTATGTGTGGTGTAGCATGTGTGGCATATGGTGGCCCTGAAAAAAATCCATAGTGCTTCATTAAAGGCCAGGGTGATGACCAAATGACTGGACGCATCCGTCCCCTCTGAGGACCCAGCTGGAAGTCGTGGGCTACGTGCAGGAGGGCTGTAAATGCAGAGTCATGTTGAGGCTAGCAGCTCTACATGTGACCCCAAGCACCAAACTTTGAAGTGTCTCTTTTCCTTCTTCCAGGAGACTGGATAGTGACAGCCCCAGCATCAAGGTTAAGTGGAACGGGTTCTCCCTCCTTTTCCAACTTTTCTGGACTTCTCCCTTCAGCCTCCTGGACTCCATTTTTTCCTATCCCCTCTGAGGTCCTGGCAGTCCTATTGTGATGTATTTTCCCTCTTCAGTCTGCTCTTTCGGTCAACTCAAACTTGATTCATTCCAAACAAGAGCAGCATAGAAGCCACAGCCTAGAGATTGCCGCAAGGGCTAGGAGGGTAGCCCCCCTGCCTGTGAACATGGCTGTGTGCCTGAGCTGAGGGTTACATGCATATGACTCCATCAGCAAATGGAGGAGTCCCTCAGAGGCTGACAAAGAGAGCATTTTGCTGAGAAAACACTGTTAAAAAAAAAAAAAAAAAGAAAAGCAAAAACAAAACTCCAGCCCAAAGAACACAGAAACCTGGGCCGAGGGGGGTGAAATGGGACACAGAAATGAGGAAATGGCTTACTGCCGCCTGGAGTGGAAATGAAGGCCACCAGGACCGTTCAACCTGGAGAAGCTATTAACTGGCTCATTGTCTCTGAGGCATCAATATGTGGAAAGTCTCTGTTCCCACAGAGGCTGAACAAAAGGAAATAAACATCTCAGCAAGACATTCCTGTCAACCTAAACAATGCCACTCTGGGTTCCTTGGGGCCCTTGTGCTGTGATGCCAAGGACCGGTAAGCTCTGCAGGGTGAGAAAGCTTCTACAAGTAATCTTGGTTTACTCAACTACCTCTTTCGTTAAAGAAACCATTTTAATTTTGTGTTTATTTATTTGAGAGGCAGAGAGCTCCTATCTGCTAGTTCACTCCCCACATGCATGAAGCTGTGGACAGAAGATGAAGCCAAGACCAGGTGCTGGTCATGAAATCCAGGTCTCCCACGACAGTGGCAGGAACCCAATTCCTGAGTTTGCACTGCTGCCTTCTAGGTCCTGGATCAGATGCCAGAGGTGGATACTGAACCCAGTATGGGACCTGGACATCTTAACTGCTAAGCCAAATTCCCCTCCCCTCACTCTCCCACCCAGATATAGGCAAAAGCTTTCTTTCCCAGTATTTGCTTTGAATTTACCTTTGAACATTGCCACTGGCATGATGCCCAACTTGGTCACCTTATCCACACTCTCTGCCACTCACAACTGCAGCTCCATTCTATCTGAAGGTCTTTGTTTTGTTTCTGTCTCCATGGAGAAGTCCCACCATCCCTTTGCCATCATAGATACCCTTCTCTAAACTTTCTTCATTATATCCAATATATCGCTTCCTTTTTGAGGTGTGGTGGCCAGAACTGCATACAGTAATGCAAGGTAGCATGTGCTTGGCTTTCTGAAAGGAAAAACATACTGGTCCTACTTTGATTTCTTAACATCCTTCCTAATTAATGATGGTCTGAAAAACAACACCCCTCCCTTGTGGCTACCACACAGATGAATTACTTATTGTATAATGTCAGAATGACTGTGTTGTATTCTTTTCTTTTTATAAGATTTAATTGCTTTTATTGGAAAGGCAGATCAGATTTACAGAGAGAAGGAGAGACAGAGAAAGATCTTCCATCCACTGGTTCACTTCCCAGCTGGCCACAATGGCCCAAGCTGAGCTGATCCGAAGCCAGGAGCTTCATTAGAGTCTCCCATGTGAGTGCATAGTCCCAAGGCTTTGGGCTGTCCTCTACTGCTTTCCCAAACCATAAGCAGCTGGAAATGAACCAGTGCCTATATGGGATCTCGGTGCTTGCAAAGCAAAGTCATCGTGCCTGGCCCAACTGAGTTGTATTTTTCTGTTGTTATCTATGAGAATGTGACATCAATCATTCGGGAATATGGGAGAAAACCAGGATACAGAAAGTGCTCCCTTAGGAACAAAACAGAGGGTTGCTAACTTTTTACCTACATTCCAAGGAATGTAAATGTTCAAGACTATGTACCCCTCTCTTCCTCTTTCTCATTTTGTCTCTCTCCCTCTCCTTCTGCCTATTTCTCTGCCTTTCAGGTAGGTAAAAATAAACATTTTTAAAAATAGGAGATCCAGATATTTACCATGTTTATGGGTTAGAACAATTATTGTTAAACTGTCAATTCTCCCAAATGGATTTATAACTTAATATAATATTATTCAAAATTCTAGGAAGTTTGTTTTGGGCATGAGGATAAATCACCAGAATAGAGTCCCTAAACAGACTTATATGATCATGCAATGTATGACAAAAGCGACACTGTAGCGTAGCAAGGAAAGAGTGGGTGTTTTTTGCCTTTCAATAAATAGCACTAGACCATATAGGGAAAAAAAGAAATCTTAACCCTTAACCCACATCTATTTTATCAATTCCAGGTGGACTACAGATCTAAATGTGAAAGTCCAAACAATAACAACACTCATTTCCATGGCTTGAGGGTGGGTATAGATCTCTTAGACAAGACGCAAGGTAACAACCATAAAAGAAGAAAATGTTACAATGAACACAACATGATTAAGAGCTTCTGTTCATTAAAAGATACCAGCTCAAAAATGAAAGGGGAATCCACAGAGTACTAGAAAGAACTCAAATGCAAAATATTTTTTTAAAAATTCCTACAAATTTTTATTTTAAAAAGTAAACAGTAGGAAAATAGACAAATATTTAAAAGATACAAAAAGATATTCAAATGATTAATAAAATATGAAAAATCTTGGGTCTTACACAATGGCTCTGTGATTAAATCCTTGCCTTGCAAGTACTAGGATCCGCTATGGCTTCCTGTTTGTCTCACAGCTGCTCCACTCCCTATCCAGCTCCTTGTGACTTGGGAAAGCAGCAGAGGATGGTCAAAAACTTTGGGATCCTGCACCTGCCTGGGAGACCCAGAAGAAGCTCCTAGTTTTGAATCAGCTCAGCTCCAATCATTGCAGCCACTTGGGGAGTGAACCAGAGGATGGAAGATGTTTCTGTCTCTCCCCACTCTCTGTAAATTAGACTTTCTAATAAAAGAAAAAACTTTAAAAAATATGAAAAAAGTCAGCTTCAATAATTATCATGGAAATCCAATATTAAGTCGCTACAATAGTAGCTCAGTCAGAATGAAAGAGAAAATACAACTGTTGGTTAAGATGTGTGCCATCTGGAATTCTCATACATCTTGGTGTGGGATATAATGGCTATAAACACTTGTGAAAATGACTCTGTCCTTCTACCAACGCTAAACAAGCACAAACTCTACAACTTGGCAGTTTTATGTCTATGCACATCTTCAAAAGAATGCTCCTATCTGTTCACCAAAATACAACTGTTAGAAAGCTTGAGGATAGGGAGGGGAGCAATGAGACGGCTCTACTGGCTTATCTTCTGCCGGTAAATGCCAGAATCCCATATGGGCACCTGTTCGTGTCCTGTCTGCTTCACTTTCCATCCAGCTCCCTGTTTATGGCCTGGGAAAATAGTAAAGGGTGGCTCAAAGTCTTGGGACCCTGCACCCACTATTTATTCTAAAATAGTGACAGAAAGAGGAGAGAGATCTTCCATTTGCTGGTTCACTTCCCAGATGGCTGCAAAAGCCAGATCTGGGCCAGGCCAAAGCCAGGAGTCAGGAGTTTCATTTGGCTCTCCCAGGTAGGTAGCAGGGGCCCAAACACTTGCTTATATTCTGCTGCCTCTCCAAGGCCACTAGCAGGGAGCCAGATTGGAAGTAGAACAGCTGGTGCCCATGTGGGATGCTGGCATTGTAAGTGGAGGCTTTACTCACTATGCCACAGTGCTGGCCTTAGGAAATAAGCTTTCTAATAAATAATCCATTAAGAATAGCAAGAATTCCTTACAAAATCTCACCTTGTATTACTCTTTGGTTACAGCAGAATAGGCTGATCCTGCACTCAGCTTTCACCTATCATAACTAATATGTTAGCAGTTAATATTTAGATGTTTTTATTATGTTATGAAGTCCATTTATACAGGATCCTTTATCACTTTCTGCTTTTCCTAGTCACACTGGACCAGATCTTTCTGCAATTCTTTTCTTTCATTCAATTCATTTAATGAGCTGAGAGTCTTTGGGGCCATCTCCACTTTGCACGTTTGACTACACCAGTCTGCAGCCCCCGGACTCCGCAACACCTTCTCTTGTTATTTTCTCAAGTCAATGCAATTTACCCTGAGACTCCTCTCTCAAAAGCTGAACACTAGCCTCCCTAACTTCAGGTTCATATTATCAACATCTTTTTGATACATTTTATGGTGTTGATTTACTCCTAAAAATCCAACTTTGGTCTGTCTGGTTCTTCTGAAACTGACCGCTTCTTCATGGCTTCCTCAAAGGACTTTTCTTCCTCTTGCTGCTTTATTTTTAATTCATTTTTCCCCTTCTCCTAGGGAATGTTGCTAATTCTCATCTTTTAAACCCTCATCTGTGCACTGATAACTTCCAAATGCTCTGTCCACATTGACCTCTCCTCCACTCAGCTTCAGGCTACTTAATGTTTTCACATGGAGCCTCATTAGGGTTCCACCTAAACATGGAAAAACACTAATCAACATGTCACCCAACCCTAGCTCATCTTTGGTTTATGGTTTTACATAGAAAACCTACTACCTTCTCTGAATCTTTCTATCAGTCACTTGACACTGACTTTACCACCAAAATTCCATTTCAACATGCCTCATTCCCTACCTTCATCCCAATTCTAGTCTGTGTTATTTCTTTCCTAGACTGTTTCACTAGCCTTGCTAAGGGGATGAATTATTTTCACCCAAAACTCATATGCTGAAGTCCTAACCCCCTAGAGCCACAGAATATGATCTTATTTGGCGATGGCATCTTGCAGATTTATTAAGATCAGGTCACCCTGGAGTAGAGTTGCTCACTGTGGCATACATTCTGATGAAAAGGGAAAGCTGAACACAGACATACAAGCAAGGAAAATCCCATGTGAAGGCCAGAGTTATGCTGCCTCAAGCCATGAACAATCAGACCCTCGAAGGAAGACATGTCCCAGACCACTGCCTCACACCTTCAGAGAGAGCTTGTCCCACTGTTCCTTGATCGCTACTTCAAGCTTCAGAACTGAGAAGATGGCCGCCCAGCGCAAGATGCTTCACCATAGCAGCCCTAGGGGACCAGAGAGAGCTTCCTCTTTTACTTTATCTGCCTCCACTTTCCCTTCACGGCAGGCTAGCTGAACCACCTGCAAAGTGTCCTCAACTCTGCCAATTCCCTAATTAAAAATCACCTGATTCCCTTTTCAAGCCATAATTTACAGGTAATATTCCAGGTTCTGAGTATGGTTTATGAGGCTGCTGCTTAATTCAGTTCATACGTTTCTTTCCAGCGATGATGAACTACTGGGCTCAACCTAAACACATGTTGCCATTTCAAGCTGTTGACCTTTGTCGATTTCCCCAACAATAATGCCCACTCACATCCCTACCTATATATCTCATTCTTTAAAATTCAGTGCAGACATTCCTTCTAACAGGAAGCCACTCCTGGTATCCCCCAGCCTCACCCTCACCCTGTACTACCAGTAGCAGCTCCTGGTAGGCAGCATTCCTGATTTTTATGTATTTTCTGCATATCTGCACACAACGGTCTCTGTATCTGTTCACCCAGTGAGTTGTGAATTTCTTAGCTTTCTGTAATTGATATATACACGCAGTGTATTTAAAATAAGATCAATTCACCAAGGAGTTGACAGGGGGCGCTACGACAGGTAGATGTCCGTGGCATAATAAACTACGGATAGGTTGGTATGAATCAGTCAAACCAGGAGGCTCATTATCTCCAAAATGTCCTTCATCTCCCTTGCTGTTTTATACGCTTTGAAATCAGAGTGGAGGCTGGGGAAGCACAAAACCAAGATTTCCCCTACCCCTCCCTGCAAGCCCCACCATAATCCGTTGGAAAGAATGCTGAATTGTCACACGCCAACAAGTCATCCCATAAGACATGGCCCAGTGCCCTCCGTCTAATGCACTGAATGCCGTGGGAGCTCCTCAGTCATGCCGCCTTTGGGGGAGGGGTCCAGGCCCGAGGCTCGCAGAATGAAGAAATACATTCAACACTAATGCCTGGATTTACTGAGATGCTTCCCACGACAGCTGGGCTCTCTCCCTCCTCCCACCCCAAAGGCCTTCGGGGGCCCTCCGCTCCCCCCTCCCTCTCCTTTGAAAGCCTTGGGGCCTTCCTCCAGCCCCTCTCTTACCCTTGGGGGGCTCCTACCTGACTGGATCAGAAGAAGGTAGACAAAAGGAGCGAGGCGCAGGGCCCCCGAGGCTCTGCAAAGGGCTCCCCTTTCTCTCTTCATTTTGGGTGGCGTTCTCCAGCTCTGGTGCAGACAATTAGCATGATTTCTCCACTCTGGGCACGTCCCTTTGTACCACTCAGAGTTTCTCTGCCCCAACACAGCTCTGCCAACTTCCCTCTGAATACACAGGGCTCTGTGTGTTGCTGGGCTGGTTCTTTCCCCTCTCTCAGACTTAGCATTTTCTAGTTTCCCAGCTCTACATCCCTAGGATGGAATATGGGATCTGCTTAGGAGGTAATTTCCAATGGCGGTTCCAGCATGGGAGGGGGTGGCAGTGGTGGCCCCGCAGTTCTGCACCAAGTTCCACTCTTGGAGCAGAAGCGGATCCGGGCTCAGTGAGGGTGCTGTGCTGGGACGCGCATTCCACAGGATCTTGGGTCCCAGCCTCTCCTGTCTCCACCTCACACTCCTGAATTCTGGGAAGGTTTCTTGCCAGGACAGACCTCCAAAAAGCTTTGCAAAGGGAGGGGGAGGCGCTTTTAAAAAGCTGAGAGAGATTCCAGAGAACGACTGAAGAAATGAAAAACCCCTATTCCACTCCAAAAGCAAAAAATATATATACATAGGGAAATGGCTTTGAATTCTCCAGCTCTCACGCCTGTGCTTCGTCCTGGTTGGGAGTCTCTGCTGCGACAGAACCATACAGATGGTGGCGATCTCTTTCCGGAAGCCACTCTGCCCCCCTGCTGCCTTCAGCCAATTCAGAGCCAAGTGAAGGCAGTGCCCTAACAGCCAGCTGCCAACATAACTGCCCAGTTGGACCCCTGTCTGAAGGCTGCAAAGAGGAGAAGCACCCCTGCCCTACATGGCTACACCTTCTCATGAGAGCAGCCAAGAAAGGGTGAACTTGCTAGTTGAGTACGGTTGGCACTGGCTTGCAACCTCTTTGAGCCTCTGATTTCACATTTGTAAAATGGGGAGAAACAATTGCTATCCTGGAGGAACCAATGGAAAAAATGAGAAAATTTTGGCATAGGAGTATGCCTACCAAGTTCTTAAAGATACAGCTTTTAAACATTTTTTATTTTGTTTTTATAAACTGCCCTGTAGAGAGATCTTTATAATTTCAAAGTTCCTAACTCCCCCTCTCAGTCATCTCTAACCTGGATCTTAGTCTTATAAACAGAGCCATTGTCTCTCTAACAACCGTCTTCACAATGCTAGAGAAAGCCTGAGTAGGACAAGTTTCTTTCACTGAAGCATCACAGCTGAGCCTGTCCGAGGCAAGGCAAGAGGAGACAATTGGGAAGTGCTGATTTTGAACTTCACAGGGGGTTTTCTTCCTCCTTTTGCATCTCTGTGTCTTGGACTTTTCCTTACACTGCTCCAGGCACCTGCCTGCTGAAGAGGCAATGTATTGTTACAGCAGGAATGGAAGAGAAGACAAAGTTAGTATTCAAATTCTTTCTAGTTACATATTTGAAAGTCGGAGTCATGGAGAGAACGGAGAGAAGAGGAGACACAGGGAGAGAAGAGGAGACACAGGGAGAGAGATCTTCTATCTTACTGGTTCAGTTGGCCACAAAGGCCAGAGTTGGAGCCACATTGAAGCCAGGATCTAGAAGATTTATTCCGGTCTTCCAAGTGAGTGCAGGGGCCCAAGCTGTCTTCCACTGCATTCCCAGGTACATTAGTGGGGAGCTGGATCAGAAATGAAGCAGCCAGGACTCAAATCAGTGCTAATACGGGATGCTGGCACTATAAGCAGCAGCTTTAACTGCTACATTGCAAACTACTCAACTTTGAACATTTCAGATGGTATTTTAGAATCAGGGGAGCATGAAAAGAGTTAAAAACCAGGTTTTGTAATGGATAAGAAGATATTTTAATTTCTGGAAGCTTTTCCTTTGATGAATCATCGAACAGATCATGGAGTTCTTCTATGGTCCAGTAGACACATGTTCCCTCTTGCCTGCAATGCTAGACTTTGAAGCTGGGTGAATAGAGGTAAACGGTGTGCTGTTCAGGAAATAGAGAGCTTGAAGACTGCCTTTCTTTAGCCCAAAGGATTATGGAGAGAAAATGTGCTGGGGAGACATGAGGAGGATACAAGTCCCAACACCTTGCCCTCCTCTATCCCAGGAATGATGTTGAGGGTCCTTAAACCTGTGCAGAAATTACAAGTTCCTAAAGTGCCCACAGGCCCCTATTAGAACTCAGAATTGCTCAACGAGTAAGGAACTGGTAGAAAGTAAAAGATAGAGATAGTAGGGGACATGGATGCAGGGATTTTTGAGACTGAAGGCTTCTGGGTGCTATGGTGGGAGTTGGTATCAACTTTACCAGACCAGGAAGCAACCTAGAGGCCAGTGGCAGAGACCAGTGGGAATGCTGAGCAAATTACATATCCGCACTGTGTTCCTCTGTTGCCACAGGGTGACTCCAGCCACACCACCAACATTGGCCAGAACCCCTTCTTAGCAAAATCCAAGATTAGTATTGGTATATAGAAAACTTGCTTGAACAGTTTCCTGGACTGTCCAGGCAGAGCCTGAGCCTTCTAAAGAGAATATTAAAATGACTGGAGTGGGCCCCGCAGAGTGGCCTAGCGGCTAAAGTCCTCGCCTTGAACGCGCCGGGAGCCCATATGGGTGCCAGTTTTAATCCTAGCAGTTCCACTTCCCACCCAGCTCCCTGCTTGTGGCCTGGGAAAGCAGCTGAGGAAGGCCCAAAGCTTTGGAATCCTGTACCCCTGTGGGAGAACCAGAAGAAGTTCCTGGATCCTGGCTTCGGATCGGCATAGCATCAGCCGTTGCGGCTAGCTTGGTGAGTGAATCATCGGATGGAAGATCTTTCTCTCTGTCTCTCCTCCTCTCTGTATATCTGACTTTGTAATAAAAAATGAATAAATCTTTTAAAAAAATGACTGGAGCAGGGCTGGGGGTTTAGCTTAGTGGTTAAGATATTCATATTCCACATTTTGAATATGTAGGTTGATACCTGGCTGTGACTCCTGACTTTTGCTTCCTGCTAATGTGCACCCTGGGAGGCAGAAGTAACAGTCCAAGTAATTGGGATGCTGCCAGGCAAATGAGAAGCCTAGGCCGAGTTCCCAGCTGCTGGCTTTGTCTCATGTTCACGTGAGGAAGGACTTGGGGAGGAGGAGAGACCAGTGTGTAGACACACATGAGGTACCTCTTTGGGAATTTGCAGACATCACTGGGGTCCACTTCGGGAGGAGCACTGAGCCAAAAGGCAGCTGGATTCTGAGACACAGAACAACAGCCACAGGCAGCTTACACATCATGTTGCTCTTAGCAGGCCTTGCTGGTGTCCTCTGGGTTGTCCTTGAGGGAATGGATATCCTATCTAACTGTTGGTGATGCTTGCTAGACTTTTTTTAAAGAGATTTCTTGATTAGAAATATTACATTCCTTTTATGCCAGCAATATATTTATAATTGTTGGTCTGCATCTTTGATTTTTGGAACAAGTTGCAGTTACTGTGGCTAGCTCCTGTTTTGCCTGCTCGCTCTTTAGGGAGTAGGGACTATAAGCCTTCACTCCTCGGGTGTTCTCAGGGAACCCAGGGTGGAGCTGTGCCTACTGTGGCTGCGCCAACAGTGCTGTAGACTGCCGGCTTGACTGGAGGCTGGAATGCCCTTGCCTAGCCCAGAGCCCCTGCCCTTTCCTTCCCTGAGCTGTCTCCACAGATTTGTTTCCTAGGCGCCATCCCCTTTTGTGCAGCATGACCCAGTTCTTTTGGCACCTGTGCCCCATGCGGTTGCTTTAGGCTGCTCCTCCTACTTTGGCAATGCCTCTAGGGCTCTAGGATCCTGCACCCCAGACAGCCCAGACCCACTGCACTCAGGGCTATCCACAGAGCACCAAGACAGGGCCTCTGCAGCTGAGAAAAGAGTGTCTCTGTACCCCTCCAGCCAGACCCCCCCCCCACACCCCAAACTCATCCACCAGAAGTGTCTAACAGAGGAGAAGGAGGAAACTGGTGGGTTCAACTGAGTCACTGTCCTAGGCAGGAATGGGAAACAAATGATCCACAAGGTAGAGTGAACAGCTGTAAAACTGAGCTCTGTCTTCCAAGAACTGAAAATGTCATGGAAGTGGGAGGAGGGACACAGAGCAGCAGGTTCGTCCTGTGGTGTGAGATACTGGAGGTGGCCTGTCCCCCTACATTACTCAGAGGGCAGACGGGTTAAGGAGTTGCCTAGTTAAATTGCTGTCTGCAGGTAGACCTAGGAGTTCTAAAGTTACGTCAAGACAACAAAATCAGCAGGAAGAAGGTACAGAAGGAAAAAAATCCGGTTACCTAACAGCAGAGGACAAAAGGATAAAACATACACTTACAGAGAAACACAGGAAAATGATAAGTTAAGTAATATTTTAAATAGTCTTAACATTATAGCTGGGAGTGTCCCCAGCTACTTGGCCTGCTCCTCTGTCTGTAAGGTCTGGGGTAGAGTGACAGACCCGCTAAGGATGTTTTAGAATTGCCCTAACGTGATCACGTCAGTGGTGATTTTTATATTTGGCACTCTCCCTTTCCTTCCTTTAATTCATTTCCTGTTATTAACTGAGTCATATCTGTCTCCTCCACTGAGCTGTCAGTGATCTTGGTAGTAGAATGAAAAGCATTCTTCCAACGGATGATACCAACATTCTGCAGAAGGAAGGCATTTTGTTTCAAAAGAGAAAAACATTTAAATGTGCCACCCGGAATAGTAGAGCATACAGAGTCGAAGAACAAAACAGACACTGATCTACATGAGAAATAACCAGAAACTTTGGGACAACACACACAAAAAAAGCACCTGCTTTTTGATGGTCAGGTGTGGAATTTTCCACTTTGTGGCTGTATATTAGCACACAAACAGATTCAGATTTTGGGTTTTTGAGTTAGGGATGCTCAACCTGTAATATATTGGGGGAGGGGATGAGAAACTTGGAAGGAGGAAGCTGATAAAGGTGGCCTGTTGAGCAAATTACTTAGACCTGCTGGGAACTCTGGCAGACAGCAGAGAGGGAGCTGTCAGGGAGGGCCAGGGGGTTAACTCCCCAGACTGCTATCCTGAGTCTTGCATGCAGGCATCCTGTGCACACCACACCTACTTCCC